CAGATTTTGCCTCGTCAATAGTTATATTAAAGATATAACATCCAGTACCTGAACGTGTTGAAGTTGTATAAGAGATTTAATGTTCCTTTAATATAGAAACTTCATAATTTGGGGTGAATATTACTGTTGCATTAAGATTGTACTTAACAATATTGAACTAGTTAGTAAATGATCTTCCCCTAAGGCATTTAGTTATTATTATGTGGGTCTCACAGCTTCAAACTAAATCTAAGCACAACATTGCTGCACTGACTGTTGGGCCCTTTGCAGATTTCAAAAGCCTTTGGGTGATGAGCTGCAAAAGTACTTAGGCACCTTGCAGTGACTTTAGAACATAGCCCCAGATTTTTATTCTACAGGCCACTGCTCAAATGCTGCATAACTTTGTAAAGAGTTTAATTTTTGCAGCTGTTTGAATTTCAGGTGCTACCTCCTTTCCATTCTTCCTGGGCGCTACACGCAGCTATTTCCTCAGACCAGAAATCTCCAGCAAAACTCTATTCTGAGGGAAGAGCCAGCATATCTCCAGACACGTTCCTAACCTTCAGTGCAGTTGCAATGATTCAGCAAAGTCCATCTAACCCTAACTTCTGTCCTACCACACCATATATATGGAGGAGTTCAAACACCTATGTGTTCTTCCTAATATGCCCCTCCAGAAAATTAACATTGTTTGAAAGTTATACTTGCACTTCTGGCATTGCTTTGAAATTCTTGTCCTATGGCACTGTCTCTGATTTATTTTACTCCATTACATTTATTTTCCTCTTGGTTGCAGCAGCTTGTCCCTCACTTCTTAGTTCCAGAGACCTTTCTGAATCTCCTCACCACAACAACCAATAGGCCAAACAATATGCAAAAAAAGGATCAAAAATGAAGGTAATTAAGTACAGAGCTAAAACAGCAGGATACCACTGTAGTTACATTTATTTACACTAGCTGAGGGCATACAGCAAATTTTAATGACTCATTACTAGTTCAGGAACCTATGACACAAAAGTACATTTTAGGTTTTAAAATTATTTGACACATTTTTCTTTTTAAATAGTTGATCACTGATTAGAAACAATGGCATTAATTGCTTTCATTCTCTTCACATATATGAGTACCAAACAATATGCATTATTGATTCAAATTTAGTGTTACAGTAATTTCTTCAGTGATGTGTTAGATTACTTGCTCTGGTGATTGTCTATACCAGTGATTACTGTTAGCACAGCCTTTTTCCTTCTGTTCATTTCATACTATAATGATTATAGTTGTTATCATTACTAAAATTATTGTTATGAGCGTCAGACTGGTTAACAGGTTCTATAAACACAAGCTTTTTATTTTTCCTAATATTTTTCAAATGAAGCAATATAAAATCATACTTGTTCTCTATTCATACTATTATTCTTCTTCACTTGTGCTCTCCTTCATTCTCTTTTGAGTAGAAGAAAAAATCCTACACACTAAAGAGCATATTTAGCTAAAGCCTTGTTTTTTGGCTGCTGGAAGAAGAAACACCTATAAGTATATATCTTTGTTCTTCTGAAATAAAGAAGCACAGTTGGATAGAGTAGGATATGAAGAATGGAGACAGTGAATGGCAGGCATTACAATGATATTCACCAGCTGGTAAACTCCAGCCTAAGAGAAGTAAACAAGAAATCTACCAAAGAACTGGAAGTTCATTATATCTGTACCATCTTCTCTTCAGGACAAAAGCAGATCTTGGGTTTCCTGCAGACATGGTCCTCCTGCTGTCAGCCTGTACATCTACATGGTCAGTGACAACATGACAAAGCAAGCCTGAAGGACATGTGGGATAAAGTGCCTGAGTGCACACAGGGTGTAGTCAGACCTTAGATATCTCCCTGCAAGGTAGCAAGGAAATCAGCCATCTACCCTGAGGGGCAGCAGGCAGGTGGCTGCCACCATATCACTTGGAGTATCTTTTGTGACCACTCATCAGCTGCTGCAGAGCCAGAGCCCTTAAGTCACAGTCAGCTTGTACTTCTTTCCCTCCATGAGGACACTCGCAGTGGTCAAGGCTGGAGTAAATATATCAGTGGGGCAGCACAGAAGGCCACATCATCTGCCAGAACCATGTCCAGGGTCCCCTCAGGATGTAAAAAAGGGAGAATGGGTACAGTTATGGATCAATTACAACTATTTTCCCCAGCTGATACAGCACTGGAGTTATTCACAGAAAAACATTGTTTTGTTCAAATAAAATATAATCAATTGTGATTGTAGTACTATAGAATGGTAAGGATGTGGATAGGGAGTAGGCTATTAAAGGTAATGTTTAGCTGCAGTCTTGTGTTGGCTAGGAGGCAAGCTGTTTCAATCTGAAAGAACCAAAGAAACCTTTTTTCCTACATGTTTTTTAATGTTGTGATTCTATAAGAAAAAGCACCACTTGAGATTTTTAATGTTTTTGCTGTGTCTGTTGACCTTTCCATAAATCATGAAAATTCTGATTCACATACAATAAATTTCCATGTATTTACTCCAAGCTTCCAGGTCTGCAGAAAATTTAATAAACTGCTTTGTGTGTGTTTATACTTTAAAATGGGTTCAAGTAACAATGACATCCATGTAATTTAGGTACATAACAACTTCTTCACTGTATTGACCCCGAAGGTCAAAGAGCTACTGAAGGCAGTTGGAGTTACTGCATTCTGATTCAGCTTGAGATTTACAGTACCGTGCAGATCAGGTTTTATTTTATCTGATCCAATTCACCTACTATCCCAGCTTAAGATATCATTTTAGTAAGACAGCACTATGTCCTTACAGATCAAAAGCAGCCAGAAGGAAACCAGAGAACTGGTGAACAGAAAGTACAGGAAAGAATAGACTCTTCTTGCTGATACAATTAAATAAAAGTCAATTGTTGAACCATTTAATGTGTCTCACCTCTCTGCATGAGAAAGCCATAAATAATGTAAGGAGCAGAACTACTTTTTTTTTCAAAGTGCCACACAATAGTGTGAGTTGAAAATGACATGCACAAGACACCATCTGTGAATAAATGTTTAGTTTGACCTTAAGTTCATGCATGAAGGGCAATAAAAATTAAGTAGAAAAAAAAATTGAGAGAAAGAGAAAAGAAACAGTAGGCAAAGCTCGTATCTCTGTGAGTTTATGTAAAACCACAGATAGCCAATAAAAAAAACACAGAGAGCCACAGCAAGCCACAGGAGTCAATATTGGTAGCTTTGGCATTTTAGCATTTAGCTTTAGCTTTGTCTCGCTCCAATTTATAGGAGGAAGAGGAGGTTCTTTTAATATCTATATCCCCGGAGTGAGATTAAGATACAACGGTTCAAATGTTGGTCCGACCAGTTTATTAGAGATGTTAATTAGGAAGATGGTGAGGGGGAGGACGGACGCTATGATGAATTAAGGTAATGGGTAAGGGAAGGAGGGCGATAGAAAAGGTAGGAAAGAAGAGGTAAGGAGTCTTTATAGGAAGCAAGAGGGACATAGTCACCACCATGGATCCAGCATGGTTCATAGTTCAGCCTTTGATCTTCAGTAGCGGTGGTTCATCGGGCATTGTTGTTCTGTTGACAACAACGATGGCGACGACCATGATGATAGCTCCTTTTCAATGCTTTCAAAGTGGTCGAGTCAGCTGTCTTCGGAGTGACAGCTCAAATCCAAAGTGGTTGAGTCAGCTCTCCTTGGAGTGGCAGCTTCTGGCTCTGGGATCTTAGCTGAAACTCCTTTGTTCACAGGCCAGATCTTCCACCAGTAAACACTCCTAAGCACTATCTTCTGGAGGCAAACAGCTAAAACTGTCCACACAGTTATGTTGATTGCCACACAGCAACACCCATCACTCATCTCCTAGACAAGTCAGTCTTATCACAAGAAATACCTCAGGAAGCAAGCTTTGAGCCAAAAAACAAAGAAGGATTCTCACAAGCTTTTAGTATTTTTGGTACAAAATATTCATGATGGAACTTCTGAAGTAATGTATTGGAATTTAGAATCCAGGTCCCAAATCTAATTCCAGCCCCTTAGATTACCCTGGACACTCCTGTCTCTCTAAGTTGCGCTGACAGATATTCAGTGTGAGCCAGAACTGCACGGCAGATGCTACAGAGATCTACAGCACAGTAAATTTTCATCAAAAATTAAAAAA